ATGTTATAAGAGGAGACTAAATGAGTAGTTGTGTATGAGTTAAAAAGTAAAACATTTAAATTGATAAATCCTTTAAAGAAAAATCCCATCTGACATCTTTACACTTATTTAACTGTTAACAAACACAAATATGTTTGTCTTGGTTGAAGTTAAGAAGAGATTTCTGTACAAAAAAACTGATCAGACCCACAAATAAATACTCTTATGTAATTTTCGCATAGGGCAAAGAGATAAGAACGGACTGAATATGTTTGCTCACTAAGGACAGGATCAAAGTCAAACATTCACATTCACACACACACACGCACGCACGCACGCACGCACGCACGCACGCACGCACGCACGCACACACACACGCACACACGCACACACACACACACACACACACACACACACACACAGTCTGAGATCATACTCTATAACAAATCTGCTTCACTTGAGTTAGACCTGTATTATTTCTAAAAGGCCACAGGTCCATTTTCAATAAGTAAGTATTGGTTAAATATTTGTGAACAAAAGTCTTTCATTTTCCCTAAAAAAACTAAAGATTGTATGGCAGCAATCACTCAGCTGGAGTTGAGGTGTCAGTGATTCAATATGTTTTTATGTTTGTATAATGAGTGAGTGTAAAGTTCATCAGCTAAGGTGAACGGATGAGGTGTGTTACACAGCTGCTCCTGTCAAACAACTGTTTTCTAACAATGTGCCTCTGACCTGGGGGGTGTAATACCAAGCAAGTTCAACAGAGCCAGAGTTTCTTTCACCTAACTGGCTCTACAAAACCAGAAATCTAATCAGAGATGACAGGTGGCACGAAGGTGGTTTTCAACTTTCGGTGTTAACCAAGGCTGTGCTCGTTCTCATATGTGGGTTACCACACAAAATAGATTGATCCCAGCCTATTTCTATATCATGTAAGAACATGAAACAATATATAACGGCATAAGCAAACCTGTCGCTTCAAATAAGAGAGGAATGCTGAAAGACAAGTACTAATTGTGTAAATAAGTCATATTTTAAATGTACCACTCGATGCAATCTGTGCCTCCGATTTCTTCATTTCATTCATTTAAACATTTTAAGTAAGTTAATTATATTAAGAATAAACTAAAATGACTCGCAGTTCCCCGACCAGTCAACTTGCAGTAAATAATCAATGTCTGTCCAAAATGCCATCACTGCAAGTTTTATGCCTAGACATTTGTGCTAAATTGTCACAATTATTGTATGAATTCTTTATTTAAGGCCAATGTTTTGAGAGGTCACAGTGATCTGTTAAATCCTTTTCTGAAATAAACGCCGGGGAAAGACTGAGATATATCGAGCGTTAGGTATGGTATATTTGCCGATTGCAAATGTAAGACTTGTCATGTAACTCATTCAAATAAAGGGACGACACGTCCTTTTTCCAGGCAGTTTAAATGTGGGGCAGTTTCTTTGAACTTAATGTTAATGATGATAATGATGATGATCACAGCGTGTTATATAGATTTAAGGAGTGGGTGAGTAAGTGAGCGAGTAATAGCAAAAACACTCATCCAGTATTGAGTGTTTTCTTACCGGTTCACATTTCCATTTCCCAGGTATGCAGGCCTCAACGTGATGAAACATGAACATCTCTATTCTCTTCCTGCTCTCATCCTCCCTCCTTGCTCCCCTCTCATTATTCTCTTGAAGTGGTGCGTTGCAGGAGAGAGTGCTGTTCTGGATCTTTATATAACTGTGAAGGAGAGTATACATCAGAGTACAGTACCACTCACAGTGGGAGGACAGAGCTTGCCTAAGTACTGCAGCAGCAGCAGCCATATCAGTTATTTACTGTAATTATTTGAGCTCAGTAAAGGAGCTGGCAACAGTGAAGCTTTCGTCAGAGTGGAAAGCTTGTCTGTTTGTCAATGTCTTGTCTGCGGTAGATGCAACTTATCTGTAAGAGTATTAGTTCTGTCCATCATACAGATAGCTGGGTAAAGGACCATTACTGAAATAAGTCTGTGCTGGTGTGATGGCCACAGCAACACAGAATAAAACAAAAACACTACACCTCACCTCCAGTAGTTTAGCTTCAGTTCAACTGCAGTAAACCTCAACAACAATTAACACCACATTTAGATTTATTTGATTTGCTTATAACCTGACATGATTTAGTTTATTTCACACATTTTAGCACAGCTGACACAAGTATTTGTTTTGATTAAATACTTTCTTTTTCCATGGTCATTGGGGGAGATTACTTCCTGGTTCAGCAAACGGTGTGGCTGAGGACTGAGGACTCATAAATACTTCCATGTCAAATGGGGGGGGGGGGATTTTGGTTTTGTCAGTGTCTTTTGTATACTGTTAATCTTAATTAGCCCTTGTTTTTTTATTTGGTTTGGCCAAGCCACTGTATATTTTCTTTGTTTTGTCATTCTGATGTCTTGTGCACCTCACCATCCCATTTTCAGTTGTTCTATATATATATATAAATGAGTTAAACAACCAAAAAGAAACTAAACTATTATTATTGCTAATATAATATGGAACAATTAAGCTATATGGGGGGAAATTGTTGGTTTTACAGGGGCCTAAAACTGACAGAATTGAGACCTGATCCTGAACCAAAGATCTGAGGCTATATTTTAGCTTAAAACTCTATAACCTAGTACAACATATTAGGAGTCAAGAACAAAACGAGCTGAATAAATGTAGCAAATTAAAAAAAGTGTCTTTTTTATAATGCCAACCATTTTTTTCCTTAACAAATCTGGTGCCTACATTACCCACAATGCAGTCAGACTTTCTTTCAGTGCATAACAAATAATCAGATCCGAAACCATAGCCTGACACAGAAACCGAGCAAAAAATAATGAACTGAATCAAGCTGGTACTGTGACAGAAAATCAAAGCTGGATGAAACCAATATTCCCTGTCAGCGTTCACCTTTGTGGATATCAGGGTGAATCCTCCTCATTAGCAAACAGTGTGAAACATGACCTTAGTTCTTGAAGGTGATCAAGACAAAGATATGTCACCTGAAATGTCACAGAGCTGTTGATTCATAACTATCACAGTTAATGATGTCTCGGTTTGATGACTTAAAATGAGAGCATTTCCTGTTACTCGTAAGGTCATGGTTATGAAGATGGGCGTGTGGGAAACAGTTCATCAGGTTGCCAGGAAACCAGAAAATAATGAGTCAGTGGTGTCAATCATACTGTCCCCAATCTCTTTTACCAGTGGGGCCCTCATTTCCGTTATTTCTCCACTGCCATCACTGTAATATCCTGTGTGATTTACCGTGAGGTGAATGGCTCACTCGATGGTCCCACAGCGCAGGAAGTCATAGCAGAAATGAAAGAAGCGCCGCTGCAGGAGCAGGGAAGAACTGGAGGAGATATTTATAGCTGCTCCGCTCACATCGCTGTCTTTAAAATGCTCCTTTTTATTCCAACCAACCCTCCTTCTCGCTTTCACACTCTCTCTTTCTCCCTCACTGTCAGCTTTCATATCCACACTTCTGCCATTGTTATATCTCTCTCTCATACATAGAAAAGGAAGCTTGGTGGTGCACATACACAAAGGATGAAGCCCTGAGAAAGAGAATAGTTATTCCTAATTTTTCTACAACGCAGTTGGATCTGTACTGCCACAATATAGGCACACAGTGTCATTATAAACCTTATGTTGGTACATTTCACAACACAAATGATACTAGTTTTCTTAATTGAATGGTCCAAAAGTTATAGGGAATAATAATGGGTTTCTTTTCATTCTTGTTGAGTAAAAGATGAGAAAATACTACATACTGGTCTTTATTTGTGGGTTCATTTTAAGATTTCTATGGTAAATAGTAATACACCATGGTTCTTCTCTAGTGCACACAAAACCCACACAGATGTGGAAGGAAGTGTCAGAGTTTCAATTAAAGCTATTAAATGTCATATTAAAGTGAAGACTGAAAAAAACACATTATTTTCCTTGGTAATCACCTCACCTAACGCATCATATTTACCTTGTGACCATTGTTGGGGTACTGACTCTCAACTTGGGATCCATTATATAACATGTACAACCTGCTAAACCAATCGATAAAAAAAACGAGGAGACACGTGTTAAAGAAAAAAAATATTTCAATATTTATTTGCGGTATAAACATGTCTTGAGTTGTTTCCATATACTGTACATTACATAGGGTCAATTGTACTTCCTTCAGTAGACAGAAAGGTGAAACTGCCCCGATCAACATGCCCCTTTGTTTTAAAACACAGACAGATTGCATCTATTTTAAAAACTGTTTACAGCACAATACAAAACAGCTTGTGTTTGAAGCTGTAACACGTTGCAAGATGCATTGTCAAAAAAATCCCTGAAAAATCCCTCACTGAGGTAACGTTTTTTGTTTCATTCACTTCTTCTTTCACTTTGTATTTAGCGCCACCACTTCTCTTCCTCTATCGCTCACTCTCGTCTTTCCCTCCCAAGCACATTCTTACTGAGATGTAGCTACAAGTTTAAGGACACAGAAACGGCCGTTCCTGTGATCTGGCAAATTTACAAACAGAGAAAAGACTTGATTTCTCTTTCATTGTTATAAAGACACAAACAAAAAACAGAAGAAAGCAGCTTGAAATCCACCATTTTAAATAGAAAAGCTCCGTACTGAAATATATTTCAAACCTAGGGTGTAAGGGATCAAGTTGTGTTTCTTATTGTAAATGGGAAATGACTTCAGGCGAGGGGAGGCCATTCAAGCATGGAAGTCTTGTTTTTATCTCTTACGCTATCATAGGACAGGAACTTTTGCATATAAATTCATAACATATATATACTTAGATATATATTCATATTTAAAGGCCACAGGAATAGCATAGAGCACATTTATCAAAAACAAGACGGAAAAAGACCTTGTAAATACTGTATGTGTTGTAATTGTCTATTGTGAAACGTAACTGCCATGCTGAACCACAGCTCTGGCCGTGTAAAGCATCGCTCGTCTGTGTGTGTGTGTGTGTGTGTGTGTGTGTGTGTTAGCGAGGGCCTCTTTGAGGTTGGGAATGGGCACGTGGGCCCTACATTTTGGACACCCCAGGTGAAATGTAACTTCAGTCCACAAGCCATATAGAGCTGGATCTTGTATAATAGAATAGATATAGTACAAAAGAAGAAGATTTAAAAAATGTTGCGGTTTTGGATCTACAAAATACTGCAAAAAGTTGTTTTGATATATTGCAGAGTAATAAACCTTGTGTGACCCGTTCTGGTAAAAAAAAGACAGCTCTCTGTCTTTTTTACTATGTTCTGATTCGAATAATAGATGAACAAACGTTTCATTTTTCTTTGTACACAATGTTTTTTTAAACTGAGATACAAAGTATTTAACAGTCAGCATTAGAAACAAGTTAGAAAGATTATATAAGGCCAGCTCAAACCAACCCTGTTCAGATTCAACTGCTGTCCCCTCTGTAACCCAGTTCTTTGTCTCAGTTTAGAGCCCGTCCACATCCTCGCTCTTTAACCAAACCTGTAGTTTGCTATAACCGTGGGCGCTATGCAAGAAATTGTCACATTCTCCTTTTAGTTTTATTAGCTATGTTTCAACCAACTACATGTCTGTCTCAGACCAACAGACCAGAGGAGGACCTTTAGTTGAATGAAACTTCCTCAAAACTAAAAGAAGCTGTGATGACAGTATCATGATGTTTTTTAGCATCTGATTTCATATCTAATCGTTCCTGCTTTACAATAGACCACAAAGACAACCGTGTCCTATTTCTATTGTTTCCCAAATGCATTTACAGTATAAGACTACTGCTTAGTCTAATGTAATGTGTTACGTTGATTTTTTTTGTGAATAAAACATTCCCATAAAAAGCAAACCAGGTTGCCTTATAAAGCAATTTTTAAACCTATACTCTATGGAATGATTTAGGTTTAAGAATATACAAAGATATTCTTGTATGACGCCCAATGTACCCGCAGCAATTTCCATAGGTCTAAGTGCTGCAGCGTTTGCTCAAATGTTTGGTGTCTTTCTTGTTAAGGTGCTTCTGATGTGGACAGGATCTGAGAAAACTCTTTAACCCGCTGCTGTTTACCGCTGTGTTCAGCAGCAACAGCAGTTTAAAAAAACGGTCCTCATCATTCATCGTCCCGTCTTGTAAAGCAACATCCAACCCGTGGCTACGTAAACTGTTAGAGAGCATACAGTACCACAGCATGCTCAGGTATACAAAATAATGTAGATCTGTTTACTATTAGCTCTAGAATATATATATTTATATCAATGTGGCTTTAATATTTCTTTCATTTACCCAAGGCTTAAGGGTGAATCAACTCAGACAAACCGTTTTTTGACGAAAATAACTTTCTTCTGTTTTCTCCAATGCAGTTAAGGGACGTGAAGCTATTGAAGTATATAAGTGCAGTCTGTAGCTGAGGCCAGTCCCAATCCACAACACCATAATCCCAACACAGAGACAGGGTCTTAAACTTAGTGAACCCGTACCAACATCCTAAAAAAGATAGGACAACTTCCTCCCAGGAAAAGAGGAGTAATACGAGAGGGCTGACTCACTTCCTTCGACAAAGGTTTGCTAAGATAAGCTGCCCAAAAAGTTCTTTAGAAATGTTAACTATGAATCCTTCATAGACGTCAGAGTTGTGAGAAACCAGTTTGGCAACATTTACTAGTCAGACAATATGTTGTGATGAAATAACAGGAAGTTCAGGAGTTTAGTTTCTAACTGAAATGAAACAGCCTTATTAGTCAAAACAGTTGGTGGAAACAACGTCTTGTAAGGCAACTGGATGAAAAGTCATACGGGGAAACAAAGTAGGAACAGGGAACTTACAGTGTCTTTACCCACGCCCACCCTACATGCCCTCATCCTACCCAATGCCCGTCTTTGCCCCTAACCCAACCCTCTGACCCCTGAACCTCGTCCTCTGTGCAGCTGTCGGGACATGTCGCAGCCTGGGACTGGCCTCTCCTCTCTGAATGTCTCTTTATCTGCCGGCTTTCAGCACCGGCTTCAAGTGCCAACAAGTCAATGGCTTCACCACTGTGCAAACTGCATTAGGTCATAACAAACTATAAGAGAAGGAAAACTTGAAAAAGAAAAAAAGACAACTCGGAATATCACCTCAACGTTCCTCTTTGCTGGCATCTTCACACCCACTCCCCTTCTTTAGTTTTACAATCTCCTAAGCCATCTGGATTGGATAGGTAAGATTTCTATATGTATATATATTTATATAAGGTATAGATTTGTGCGTAGATGTACACAAAAATATACAAAAATGCATAAAGAATTTGTTAAGGACTGCCCATACATTTATGTACGTTACCATACATACAGTACAAACATACATACTTTGTTTAGGTGTGTGTGTGTGTTAATTCCTTGGTTTGTAAAACTCCACATTCAGTAGAGTGAGATTTCCTACAAGATAATCCCAGATTCTCCACTTGGCACCAGTCAGCTCGACTCGAGAGCCGAGACAGAAAGACAGAGTGGATGTTTGTTGTCTCATAAGTCTTTGTATGAAGCTGTCTGTCCTGCCGCGTCCTTCGCTCAGTTTCTCAGTCAGTTAAGTGCTCCTCGGTTCTTTGTGACAAGACAAGTTGATCGTAGCTCTTCCTCCCTCAATTTCAATCATCTCCTGAGGAGGATGCCATCCTTAACCCAGCTGTCAGTTATCTCTCCGGGTCAAAAAGCACCCTATCTCCTTTTTAACGTGCCACCTGTGACCTCTCCTGCCCCTCAGACGCTGCTCCGTGGCCAGGCTTGCAGACAACAAGCCCTCGGAGGCTAAAACATTAATTCAAACTGGCTGCTCCCTCCAGTGCAGCCGCTTGTTACCATGGTAACAACACCACCTTTAACCTGTCGAAGAAAGGGACAGTTCCCCCCTCGTCTGATCCTCATGTGGACTCCAGCGTGTCCAGTTGAAACACATTGTGATTGGTTGGGGTGGTGAAAAAGAGCTGCTCGTGCGTCGGGGAGGTGGAGTGGTTGTCACAGGGACTGTTGAGGCCCAGCGTCCGCTCAAAGTCCAGCAGCTGGCCCATGAAGTTGAAGTTTGGGGAAATGTTCGACTTTTTCCGCTTCACAAAGTCGTACGCGTCGTTGAGCGACAGGTTGAGCTTCTGCATCAGGTAGGCCACCGTGACGGTCACCGAGCGGCTGATCCCCGCCAGACAGTGCACCAGGATGCCGCACTTCTTCGAGCGAGCCTCGTCTGCACAGGAAAGCATGAGAGAGGATTAGATTGATGTAAAAACCTACTGTATATTTTCTTATGTTTATTAGCCTTTAAATTATGACAATATTCTCTGTTCAATCTCTGCTGTGGCGATGTGAATAAAGATGTATTTCTCCTAACAAACAATGAGCCACATTTATAGAATCACATAAAAAAAATTGTCAAACCTATTTTAAAAATCCTCAATTAGCTTATTACTCTAAATACAATGGGATCTTATATAAACACATAATGTTCTGCCAAATTTAGAGGAGTTTAGGTTTCACACGATATAATTGTCTGTATTTCTTTTTGAGGTGTGCTGTTGGCAGGGCTCAGTTGTAAAAACGTGACGGCCACGGTGGCCAACACACACAATTATTTTATTTCATTATATTGAATTGTGGCTTATTTAGTCATGACTATACAATGTTATAGAAAAATATGCATGGATTAAAAGTTTCGGGCATCTGAAAGCAATTGACTGTGTTCCATTGTGTGTATAATATATATATGTTCCTCAAAAAAACAAACATATTTTCCTATTATTGAATTACAACTCAATAAGAATCGCTTGTACAATAGACATTTATAGAACAATATCTAACATTATATTCTCCCTTCAACACTCCACTGAAGGCAACAATCCAGAAAACTGTGCTGGCTTCAAGTTAGTCAAAAAATATCTAAAATGTTCCATTATTGTGATTTGAATCCACAATGACCTTTCTTAATGACAGCAGAAAGTCATGTTTCATTCTGCTTTCTAGCTCTCAGTCTGTAGAAAAACCTGAATAAGGAAAACATCCTACATTATTAACAGGCTACATCCATCCACCTTCTATCAGTTTCAAACCCTTGCACTTGCATCACTACAGGCCATTAGAGCCACAGAGTTAAGTGCTTCTTTCCTTTCTTCCTCTCCTTTATCTCTCTCTGCCTCTCCTCACTCTCCCTGCCTGACTCTCTTGTTGTGGGATTTGGGTCAGTTGGCTCACGAGCTCAGGCTGCCAAGCGGACGTCAAATTAAATGTATATGTGATGTGTGCTCACTTCCTACAACTATACAGGACTCAGAAGTCAAATAAGAAACCAGTGCTTAGTCTGTGCTGAGCAGATCCTCACATTGTGCAGATGTGAGCAGCATTACATCCCTTTTCTTGTGCTGTAAATGCATCATAACGCAAGAATTGCCCATTGCCGGGAAACATCAAGTTCCTTCTTCTCTATACGTTATGCACAATCATTTCAGATATTTAATGAATCTGCAGTCCACAGTAGTAAAGTGTAAGGTCACTTCTGGAACTTCTTTCCTTTACCCATAATTACCCTGCTGGTACTTAAAGACCTGATGCCCATTACAGCCAGTCAGACAGCAACATTTAACATGTAACATCAGACCCATGACCCGAATCTGCCAAGACCTCTGGCTCTGGCATATGTCACACTTCCTCCCACCTACTGAAACATTAGCTTTAAAAGAAAAAGAGAAATATCAGAGTCTGGACAATCTAAGACCAAAACAGAGACCCTGGTTCTCATATACCCATCAGAGAGGGAATGTACTCACTCTCTGGGAATTAAGTCAGAGGGAGTGACACTAACGATGGGAAATACTGGAAATGAGATGAGATAAGAGGCTACAATTCTCCTGGCTTCAGTATGACTCAATGCTCCAAAAATCTATTTCCTCAATTTTTTCAAAACTATTGTGCTATTACAGTCAAATGTAATTAGGAATAGAAAAATACAGGCCAGCTGTGTTTAAGACAAGTTCCCATTTCTGTTTAACACAACAGGCAAAGAGAGTAATGGAGGATAAACTTAACAAACTAGTGCTGACAAGTTTTGCATACCAATTAACTGGCTTTAATTTCTTAATGGTACAGTTTTGCTGCTTTTCATACGTTTATGATAGTAAAGTAAATACTTTTAGTTTCGGACTGTTGGTTAGACAAAAAAAACTATTTGAAGAAGAAGACTTGGGCCTTGCGAGATTGGGATGAACAATGTTTAATATGTTCTGACTTGTATTATCTGATTAATCCATCTAGATAGAAAAATAACTGCCAATTGTTAGGATATTCATTTAAATCCAGCCAGCTGGCTCCATATTCTAAAATGTACTGTATGATAGTTGTTTGGACAAAACAAGCAGAAGGAGCAAGCCTTTACTTACCAATGAATGAAATGGCCTCGGGGAAAAACTGAGAGAGGTTCTGGCTCCAGTGATCGGAGATGGGGATCTGTTTGTACTTGAAGTCGCCTTCATGTTCGAACATGTTGGGCAGGTTGGGCGTCACGTTGAGGATGTACTTGATGTTGTACTTGCTGAGCACATCCAGGTTGGTGGAGTCTTTGGCACAGCCCAGGAAGAGGTACGGCAGAATCTGGACGGGAAACGCTGTCTGGTTGCTGGGGAGCGGGCTGCCCTCTGACTCTGTGGCGCTGCCCGGCTCGCGGTCTGACTCTCCATCAGAGCAGTCGGAGCTGATGCGCAGACCCCCGAGGCCGAGGACGGAGGCTGGGGGGGAGCTGCTGGGACAGGAGCAGTCCAAATTGGTCTCGCAGTGCTCGGGGTACTCCGACTGGAACTTGTTGAAGCCCCCTGAATGACAAGGAAGAGGCCAAATAATGTCAATATAAGGAAAAGGGCTAGAAAGTCACTTCACATGCTGGTATAAGAAATGTCTCTGTGCATGAGCGCAGGGAGGGTTGTGCAATACAACATCTACAAAATGGCAGCTGAATGTAAAGTCTGCATGATACGATATATTTAACATGTTCCTCCAAATGCTCTACGTTTTACTGTGATATCTTGTTTCAACAGTTACTTTATCACTTTAAAAACATTTTGTATTATTATTTACACTTTTCCATTATTTTTACCTTGTTTGAATCCTGTTTTTAACTCTGACCCTGTTGCTGCTATAAACGCCTGAATTTCCCCAGGGGGATAAATAAAGGTCCATCTTATCTTATCTTATCTTACAAGAGGTGAATCGTGAACATGAATTATGGTAATTTTACCTTTTAATTAAAAAGAAAATAATATGATTGCTACATTTATACATTATGACCATTAATAAATGTTTTTTTAACATGTTATTAATCACAGTGATGGTAAATAACAAACAGAAAACAAAAAGAACAGTTAGTTCCAAAAATGAAACAATCTATCATACCATATTTAACCACAGTAGATTAATATTCAGATTACATAATATGTTATATATAAACCAAGGGGTTTAATGACATCAAAATTAAATCATTTACACATATTTTTCATTTACTCACATTACATTATAAATATTCTAAAACATGACATGTATATTATGATATGGGTTTATAATTACCAATGCAAAAATATCTGCCATATCGTGTTTTTATGCTTGACTACATCAAATATGAATGAGACTAATAACATGATATTTTCGCCGTCATGGCTTCGCAAACATGCCGGACAGATGTGATCCATTGAGAAAAGCTGCGCCCTGGGGAGGTTGAGCAGGACACCGAGCACTCACTACTCAGCTCAGTGGACTTTTTGTGAATGGCAGCTCGGATTGTGACTTTACTGGAACACTGCTTTGATCATTAATACATCAAATCTATCTGTAGATCCTAACGCTACCACATTTTATACACGTGACGTCCTCATCATGTCTGACTATCCTATGTTTTTATTTGGTGCTGCAGTTTTATTCACATTGCGTCGTCGTCTCCTCGTTTCCCTGTTCATTCATGAAAAAAAACGCCAGTCTTTTCCTAAAGGAGCACAACATGGCGGGCCATTTTTGCAGCATTTAATTGAAAACATATTTGACATACATAGCTTTGTATATTTAGACACATACTCCCGTTATATATTTCTATTGATTAGCCAGATTATTTCCAAATAATAGTTGTATAATGGCTCTCGGAAATAAGAAGGAAGTGTTTTGTCAAAGTTCATTATGACTTCGCACTGCAGAGTGAAGCTGATGTGTTTCACATTGCAGCCTATCTATTATTACACTGTGATAAAATCATAATCTCTGGATAATATGCTCAGATGAATAACTCTTCCTGCATCATTATTAAAAATGAACGAGACACGAACTTTAGTCGGTCAGACAGATGATAACATCTGGATTCATTTGAAGTGTCGAAACACTGCGACACTTCAAGCTATACCTATAAGCTATTTAAAAATCTACAATTACGTTATATTTAATACGGGATATGATAACATTTTCTAAAATAGTATATGAATCTGGACTTGAATCAGACTTGATAGTTTTGCTTCAGATACGCCACATATCCAGAAACAGCTTAAAACATGACACATGTAGCCTATCCATTAGGCTACACAAAGTATCCCGGATCAGATCAATCTTAACCTTGTGTGTTATATTCTAGCACTAATAGTTATCTATTTGGTGAGATAAGCTGCTGAGGCTTTCCTGTAATAAGGGGAATCTCAGTTAATTACATCGGAGTGAAATTATTGTAGTCATTGTGAGTTTTTTATGGATCAAAGGGACACGTGTAAAGCCATCCAATCTTACCCTCCAGGTAGAAAGCCTTGCACCCGTCGTCCCGCAGTTTCTGCAGCAGCAGCCCCAGCACGGAGCTTCCCAGCCCGGACTCCTGCCGCTCCGGGGTCGCCTCGTCGTACAGAACCACCACGTCCGTCTTGCACCGCTTCACAAATTTCTCCTTGTCCTCGTTGTTGGGGATGATGGAGCGGATGGGGAGGTTGCCCTTCTTCAGCCTCCGCAGCATGAGGCCCGGGATGGCCAGGTTGATGGCCGACTCTATGTGCGAGGACTCGTACAGCTCATGGGGTCTGCAGTCCAGCAGCAGCAGGGAGCTGGCCCCGGACTCCAGCTCCTCCTGCAGCCACTCCACGCTCTTACTCGACATCATCATCACAGTCACGATCACAGAGCCTCTGCACAGATGATTAATTCTCATCAGGGAAACGTTAATCCGCCTGTCCCCTGGTGTGACATGGAGAACAACGCAACAGAAGAGAGGGAAACAAGACAAATCACGCTGCTAAACTTCCCTTCCCGCGGCCACCACCAAGACCACCGCCGCTGCGCACACACACGCAGCCAGCACACACTTCCACACACACATCCAACACGCACGCAGCGATGCCCCTCTGGTTGGAGCAGGAAACTTGAACATGCAGGTTTTCTTTCCCTCCTTGTTTCAGTCCGATATAAGTGGAGGTTTCATTCCGACATCCATTTGGCGACCCAACTCCAACTTCGAGGGCGTCCACAGACCCTCAAAAAACGTCCCAAAGATGCTCAGTTATTGTCTGAGGGTGTGAGTCTCAGACGAGATGCTGTGTCTAAAGCCCATGATTATTGTTATTATTTGACATGCTGGCCCGTGGAGCGCCTCTGGTTTGTCATTTCTACTGGATGCGTTAAAGAGGCTCTGCAGGGTGTCACTGAGCTGAGGGAGGAGCGCAGAGATTTAAAGGTGCAGAGCTGCTGAACATTCACACAAGCTCACAATGTTATCACGACATTCATATCCATTCATTGATAGTTCATACAACAAGGCACTAGACATACTCTAACATGTCCCCTCCAGTAATAAGCTCAACATGTCTCCCATATGTGTTGAAAAAGAGTATAGTGTTGTTTTTTTTACCCCAGAAGAAGCTGGTTGCAAGTGAAACCAATGTAAAATACTGCAGGCCAATACTGTTTCCCTTCTCATTATTTTAATTTAATGTTAATATGAAAATACAAATACAGTTTGGTAAACCTTGGCCCCAATATTACAAGGCGTTTACTTCTGTTTGTATTGTTATTGTTATGGTTGTAATAAACCTTAATATCTGCCATTACATGTTCAATAAAAGCAAAAGATAAAGAAAAGGGAAAACTCCAGTATGATACAGTACACTATTGTATTTCATTTTTCTTAAAAAATATGATTAAATAAATAAAAAGTAAACCGACGTGTTGACAATGACAGAAAATTAGTTTAACGTTGTTATTTAATTTTTTCAGGGGTGTTCACTCTATAAGGCTTTGCTAAATATGGTCTAAACTTATTCACATTTGGGACAATAAGATTGTATATTTGCCTGTATAAGTCTGATATTGTAAATATGTATATTACAGAAAAAACATTTTATTTTGTATTGGCCATAAATAAAGAAATCCATCTGGTTCCTTCGCAGTATGCTTTCTCTAAAAGGTTCTTATGACCAACTTGTTCATTTATTAAAGTTAATGCATGCCTCACAAAAGGGTTTTAATTACCTGGGGGACACATGTGTACCTCTCAATCAATGGCCTCACGCACTAGAAGGGACTAACTCATTTGCCACTGATCTCCACACATGGGATACTCACAACATTTATACACTCATCCATAATTCATTCACACATCCACCTAACAATCAATTACAAAAATGTGCCTCTGGCCTCAAACTAAACAGCAATTATTGAGTGACAACATCGTAGTCTGTCTACTATACTCATTTCTGAGAGCAATATGTCTTCTCTCTTTGAGAAAAAAACTAGTTCCATGAAGATAGGAAACATTTGAACAACTTGTTGAACTATCTTGAAGGAGCCTAATTAATTATTGAAATACCTCTAGGTTGTGAATTTCACATTTTTGTAACAGCTCTATAGTGTATACCTGCTGCTCTGGGTCATCACCATGACTTTCACCATGAATGACCTAATAAGGCATCAGCAGGTTGTGACAGAGGCAGAGGGGAAAAGAGGAGCGTTTGATTTCCTCACAGCTGCAAAGAGGAGGGGTGGGGGATGCACCAGCTGCAGACAATGGCTCTTTATCCCCCCCCCCTTACACACACACACACACACACACACACTCTCTTCAGGGCTCTTGTGTTTCCACTCCCTTCATGGACAACAACAGGCTCTCTTAGGGTTGTGTATCCACTCTGTGTGTTTGTTTACAAACTTCTCTTCGATAGTAAACAAAAACTATCATCACTTATTTTTAACACCTACATAACTGAAGACTAAAACTTTAGTCGTGATGAAGCTCTAACAGAGTCGACATCAGGGGGATAACTTCAAGTCTTGAAAGCACATGTAGACAAGGCCTTGGTGGCAATCTGGGCAATTAGGGCCAGTTGAAATGCTGATTTTGAGTTAAACAATGCCCTTTTTTAGTAGTAGCATTAGCTCGTTATTCTGCAGCATTTCAGTCATTTTTAAATGTTATGAGCTAATCAAATGGCTTTTATCAGTGGTTATCATTAACATTGTAAATCTTCGGATAGGGCAGAAAAGGCCAAATTACACCTATCCCCATGTTATGGTTTTTAGTTTTAAACATGTTATTGAGTCATTAGTAACAAACATACTTGTTTAAGACAAAAATCATGTTTTGGCTTAAAAACTAAAACTACATTATATTTGCTTATCACGTATGTCACAAACAATTGTAAGTACATTTTTTATTTAAAGTCTATGGCAGAGTGTAAGTGAGCGAGTTGGGGGAGGAAAACAAAATCTGCAGCTTTTTATTTTGGAAGCAAATTCTTTTCGACTTATCAGTTTGAACATTTTCATTCAAATGATTGGGTGCCATCTGTTATTCCTGGATCCAGTTCTCATAACACCCCCGGGACGTATTTTGGGTAATTTCATGTCATATTCTGATGGCTGGTTTAGGTTGGATAGCGACATCTTTGTATTATTGTCAAAATTGTGATGCGGCTCCTTGTTTGAACTCTGAATCGGCCATTGGGTTGTAAATCTAAAAGTTTCATGGAGATATAAGAAAACAACAAAACCATCTGTCGCCAGATTTGAATTGAAATGTTGCAAAATCCTTATCGTTGCTCAGAAGTAAGTGACATAATTTCATTTTAGGAAAAACACTTGTGTTCAAGTCGCGCCACATTGCCGATAGTAAGAAGCTGTTGAGATGATACGTTTTCCGTGTCTTTAATTGGTATATTTTAATAACTGATGGAGCTACAGAGCAGTATGTTTTACGTAATAAAGCTTGAATATGACAAAGATAAAGATTAAGATGTATTCACTTCTATCTGAACAACAAAAGACTTATCAGCAGCTTGACCCATTGTGAGTCAACCTGCTCGTACATGCATCAACAACCTTTAATCTCCCATTTTGGAAAGAACAGGAGCTTTCTATGTGCACACATTTCCTGTTTCACAATACCCGAAGTGTGTCAATATGTCAAGTCTTTATTGTTTTCATACTACAAAAAACTAGTCAAACAGAAACAGCAATATATGCAACATGAATCGGTTTTTCTCGACACATCGAAGTCATCTTTCAGAGATGGAATAACCGCTGCTGGCAGATGAAGGAGAGTTTACTTCTATAATCTAAACTCCAGAATGGTAATGTAATTTCTGAAGCATGCTGTTGAGATGAGCGCACTGACCCATAGTCCCAGAATTGAAACTGAGCTACACAAAATATTACACCAAAGCCAAGCAGAACCTTACAAATCAGGACAAAGCTAAATCTCTTGATTAAAGTGAATGTGAATATTCTTTTTGAAGGTGAGGTGTTGTCAAACTTGTATTTAGAGAAACAAAATATATTAGCAGTTTTTTCCCCCCCAGGAAGAAGTAGTTTCATTCTCCTGAACTGCTCTTCCTGTCACTTTACTGAATCTCTCTATCTACTTAAAGGTGGGGTAGGTAAGTTTGAGAAACCGGCTCGAGATACACTTTTTGTTATATTCCATGGAATGCTCTTAACATCCCGATAGCAATGAATATCTGAAGTGCTTTGACAAAAAATCCATAAAAAAATGTCATCTGTGGAAGCCGTAGTGCTGTAAAAAGCACGACCAATCATCTGAGCCGGCCCGGCTAAAGTAACTGGATGGCCTACCTGCCTGTCAGCCTTCCATCTGTGCACAAACTTATCTCGTGCCCTCATTGGTCATGTGCGCGTTCGTGTGTGTTGGAGGAGGGGCTCTGTAAGGAAGTGGCAGATTTTTTCCGGCTGTGTGTTTTCAAATTCTAGCGCACTCGAGCTGGTTTCTCCAAAATTACCTACCTCACCTTTAATGTTGGTTTACCTGGTATACTCATTTGGTATGAACAATTAGCAAAAAAAAAAAATGTATAATTTAGTACCGCCTACATTCTCCAGTGGGAATGGCTCCATAGACTGTTTAAAAGAAATGGACATAGTCACTATGACTGGCTGGTTTACTTTTGCACGCCATGTTTCAACAAGTAGGTTGGCCTACTTGGCCTTAAAGAAAAAAGCTAAGAGTGTAAAATACGCTCAAAAGCCGCAGTGTCTTCATCATAGTTGATATGTCTTTTCAAAGAAAGGACACACATAATTCAAATTCCAGTTCACCTTCATGCTGATCTATGATTAAAAAATAGTACAACTCAGACTGTGAATGGGTGATGAATCTGATCTCTGGGCCTTCTTACCCATGAACAGATTTAAACTGATCCTTCTGAACCAGAAAATCCCCCCCATATCCCTGGAAAATCACCCTGGGTTGTATCCAGTATTATGAACAAGTCGTCCATTCATTGTCAGTGGAACGACTCCAGAAAACATTTTTTTAATAAATTAAAATGTTCTTAATACAAGCTTCAGCAGATATTTAAACATTCTGTTCACACGACTGAACTATACATTAAGATAACATCTTGAGCTGAAATTCTCATAAAAGATATCAGTAAATAATATTGCCTTTCTTTCTTGTCCAGTCTGTCATATTTATAACTACTTGCTCCATTTCCTTTATGATTTTTCTTAATGAAAACGAGGAAAATACCAACTTGGCTTGAAGCTCTTTTTGTCTGAGGCCTCTTTAAGGCAGACTGTGGTTTAAACCCACTCACCTCAGTGATAGAGTGAGGTGGCCACCCCTCTCCCACGCTAACGCTGGCATTTCCTCTGCTGTTTCCTTTGCCCCCAAACACGCAGGTCGCCAACACATAAAAAACAGGCCTGGAAAATGAATCAACGCACTTAGTTTCTGTTCAGTTTCAGCTGTGATATCTATCTGTTCCTTTATCACAAACACATGCAGGTACAGAGGTTGTTATAGTTAGTGATTGCTGCTAAATGTTTACACACAGTCACTGATTTAGTTCCACTTTTCCAAGGTGCTCATGATCCTTTTATGACAAAAATGACAAGCTTGCCAGAGGTAGCACACTAGCAACAAAGGGCAGGAATAACGATGTAATGTGTAACAGACAGCTCGGTTTCAGAAAACTCAAAATCCGCTTCATTCACAAAGTTAAGAAACAAAGAAGTCTCAAACGCCCGCCACTCTTCTGCCCTTCAGAAAGGGCGTCGTTAGGGGAAATGCATCAAGCCGCTCTCAATTATTAATCAGGAGCCAACAGGAGATCTCAATCACCCTCTAATCAACTCAGTGGAAGTGTGACATTCAGCTGAGGATAATTGAAAAAAGGTTGGATACTTTGG